TTAGAGATTTTAACATAAATGGATGCTGTATCTTGTCAAATGCTTTCTCTGCATCCATTGATATGATCATGTGATTTTTATTCTTCATTTTGTTAATGTGGTGTATCATGTTGATAGATTTGCAGATGTTGAACCATCCTTGCATCCCTGGAATAAAACCCACTTGATCATGATGTATGATCTTTTTAATCTATCATTGTATTCAATTTGCTAGTATTTTGTTGAGGATTTTTGCAGTGATGTTCATCAGTGATATTGGCCTATAATTTTCTTTTTTGGTGTTATCCCTGTCTGGTTTTGGTGTCAGGATACTGTTGGCTTCATAGCATGAGTTAGGAAGCCTCCTCTCCTCTTCAATTTTTTGGAAGAGTTGAGAAGGGTAGGTATTAAGTTTTCTTTGAATGTCTGATAGAATTCACCAGGGAAGCCATCTGGTCCTGGACTTTTATTTTTTGGGAGGTTTTTGATTGCTGTTTTGATCTCCTTACTGGTGATTGATCTATTCAAATTCTCTACTTCTTCTTGGTCCAGTTTTGAAAGGTTGTATACTTCTAAGAATTTATCCATTTCTTCTAGATTATCGAATTTCTTGGCATATAACTTTTCATAGTAGTCTCATAATCTTCTGTATTTCTGAGGTGTCCATTGTAAGTTCTCCTCTTTCATTTCTGATTTTATTTATTTGAGTCTTCTCTCTTTTTTCTTGGTGAGTCTAGCCAAGGATTTGTCAATTTTGTTTATCTTTTCAAAGAATCAGCTCTTGGTTTCATTAATTTTTTCTATTGCTCTTTTTCAAGTCTCTATTTAGTTTATTTCTGCTCTGATTTTTATTATTTCCTTCCTTCTGCTGATTTTGGGCTTTATTTGTTCTTCTTTTTCCAGTTCCTTTAGATGCACTGTTAGATTGTTTATTTGGAATTTTTCTTCTTTGTTGAGGTAGGCCTGAATTGCTGTAAACCTCCCTCTCAGAACCTCTTTGCTGTATCACATAGATTTTGCCATGTTGTATTTTCATTTTCATTTGTCTCCAGGATTTTTTTGATTTCTCCTTTGATTTCTTCATTGACCCAATCGTTGTTCAGTAGCATTTTGTTTAATTTCCACGTTTTTGTGGCTTTTCTGATTTTCTTTCTGTAGTTGATTTCTAGTTTCATACCTTTGTGGTCAGAAAATATGCATGATATTATTTTGATCTTATTAAATTTATTCAGAAGTGTTTTGTGGCCTAATATGTGATCAATCCTGGAGAATGTTCCGTGTGCATTTGAAAAGAATGTGTATTCAGTGGTTTTTGGATGGAATATTGTATTTATATCTACTAAGTCCATCTGGTCAAATGTGTCACTTAAGGCCAGTATTTTCTTATCTATCTTCTGTTTGGATGATCTATCCATTGGTGTAAGTGGAGTGTTAAAGTCCTCTACTATTATTGTGTTACTGTCTATTTCTCCTTGTATGTCTGTTAATAATTGCTTTATATATTTAGGCTCCTATGTTTAGTGTGTAGATATTTAGAAGTATTATATCTTCTTGTTGGATTGTTCTCTTTATCATTATGTAGTTCCCTTCTTTCTCTCTTGTTACACTTTTTGTTTTGAAGTCTGTTTTTTTCTGATATAAGTATTGCTACCCCCGCTTTCTTTTCTTTGCAATTTGCATAGAATATCTTTTTTCATCCTTTCACTTTCAGTTTGTGAGAATCTTTAGGTCTGAAGTGTGTCTCCTGTATGCAGCATATATATGGGTCTTATATTTTTTATCCAATTGGCCACCCTATGTCTTTTGATTGGAGCACTTAGTCCATAGACATTTAAAGTAGCTATTGAAAAATATGTATTTATTGCCATTTTGTTACTTTTTTTTTCTGGGTGTTTTAGTAGTTCTTCTCTGTTCCTTTTTCTCTTGCTATCTTCCCTTGTGGCTTGATGGCTTTCTTTAGTAATATGTTTGATTTTTTTTTTGTCTTACTCATTTGCTTACTAATTATAGGTTTCTGGTTTGTGATTACCACGAGGATCTTATATAATATCCTATGTATATAGCAGTCTATAGTGAGTTGATAGAGTCTTTAGCTTGACCTCTTTCTAAAAGCTCTACTTTTTCACTCCCCTCCTCCCACGTTTTATATTTTTGCAATCATGTCTAATCTCTTGTTTTGTGTGTATCTGTCCATTACCCTCTTATCATTGAAATAGGTAATTTTAGTACTTTTGTCTTTTAACCATCATATCTTTACAGGTGGTTGATCTGCTACCTTTACTATAGTTTTACCTTTACCAGTGATTTTATTGCCTGGTTTTTTGGGGGGGTTCTTTTGATAATTTTTTAATACCTATTTGTGGTCATCAATTTCCCACTTAAATAAGTCCCTTCAGCATTTCTTGTAGAACTGGTTTCTTGGTGATAAACTTCTTTAATTTTTGCTTGTCTGGGAAGCTCTTTATCTCTCCTTCCATTCTGAATGACAACCTTGCTGGATAGAGTATTCTTGACTAGCTTTTTTCCTTTTAGCACTTTAAATACGTTGTGCCATTCTCTTCTCACCTGTAGGGTCTCGGCTGAGAAGTCCGCTGATAGCCTGATGGGATTTCCTTTGTATGTCACTTGTTGCCTTTCTCTTGCCACTTTTAGAGGATTGTCTCTTTGTCTTTAATGTTGGACATTTTAATTATAATGTATCTTGGTGTGGGCCTCTTGGGCTTATCTTGTTTGGAGCTCTCTGTACTTCCTATACTTAGATGTCTGTTTCCTTCCATAGGTTAGGAAAATTTTCAGCTATTATTTCTTCAAATAGATTTTCTGCCCCTTTGTCTCTCTCCTCTCCTTCTGGGACACATGTAATATGAATGTTAGTGCACTTGATATCGTACCAGAGTCCCCTTAGACTGTTCTCATTCTGTCTAAATCTTTTTTCTTTTATCTGTTCAGCTTGTGTGATTTCCTCTAGTCTTTCATCTAGCTCACTGATCCGTTCTTCTGTATCATCTACTCTGCTATTGAGTCCCTCCAGTGAATTTTTCATTTCCAGTATTGTATTCATCATTTCTGATTGGTTCTTTTATATATTTTCAAGTTCTTTGTTGATGAGCTCACTGTGTTCATCCAGTCTTCTCCCAATACCTATGAGCATCCTTATGAGTTTTTGTTTGAACTCTTTGTCAGGTAGGTTGCTTATTTCTGTTTTATTTAGGCCTTTCTCTGGGGTTTTGTCCTGTTCCCTTACTTGGAATGTATTCCTTTGTCTCCTCATTATGCTTCTTTCTCTGTGCTTATATCTATGTATTAGGTGAGTTGGCTATGTCTCCTGATCTTGGAGAAGTGGCCTTATGTAAGAGATGCCTCTTGAGGCCCAGCAGCGTGTTTCCCTCTCATCATCAGTCCAAATGATCCAGGAGTGACCCCTTTGTGGGCTACTTGTGTCCTTCTGCTGTGGCAGGGTTGCTCTTGATGCAGGTACCCAGGGAGTCTAGTCTTTCCTTCCCTGGCCAGCTGTTTGTAAATCTGGTTTGGGGAGCCTCAGCACTGTTGGCTACAAAGTCTAACAGCACACTCCTCTTGCAGTTTTCCTCTTAATTGGGGAGGTGCCCAGTGTAGCTGGTTGCTAGGCTCAGGGGCTTACATTTGCTATAGGCCTCAGTCCTACAAGGCTGTTGTCTACTCTCTCAGGATGCAGCTGAGTGGGGCTGGCCCTAGGCATGGGAGCACTCAATTGTTTCAGGCTTTGGAAGGTGGGGCTGGTCCTTTTTATGGCTATTTGTGAAGCACAGGTCTTCTGCCACTGATAAGTCTCACCCTCCACAGGTCCACACACACCGTCAACACAGTCCTGGTCCATGCACACTTCCCAACCCCCTGGAGTATATACTGACACCCCATTGTAGAGGGCCCCACCTCTCCACCAATCCCACACAGTTCACCTGGTCCTCACACAGGTCCTGCCCCACAGAGGCAGACACACTAGCCTGCCTGTAGAGGATCAAGGCACTCAGTCAATGCAGGCGGACAAGTAGCCTAAGGGCTTGCTGTTGAGTGAGGCCAGTCCCTAGGGTAAGCTGCCTGCCCTGGCTGAACTAGATTAAATCTGCATTCTAGTGGGTGTGGCAGACCCCTGGGCTAACAGACCAGGGGAAGAACTTCAATGGTGTCTGCTGAGGTCTGTGTCAGCACGCCTGGACTAGGTGACAACAATGGCCACCACCAATGTCTCAGTCTCCAGAGAGGTCTCTCTTTTCACCAAGATGCACCCAGAGCCTACCAAGTGAGTCTCTTTTCACCAAAGGGCTGTCAGCCTTCTTTCTGGTAATTTTAGGTTGCTGAAATGGTGAGTTTGTGCATGGGTGCTTTAAGAACCGGGTCTTTTCAGCTTTTGTCCGATAGCTTTTCTGGGGATATACCCTGCTGCAGTATTTAATAGCCAGTGAAACCAGATAGTAAGACCCTCGTCTCAGTTGTGCTGAGTCTGAAGGATGCTTATAGCAGTATCGGGCCCCCGCTCAGGACCTCACTCCTCCAGGGAGTGCGTACCTTAGGGTGGCTCCTGCCTGGCTGGCTGTGAATCCGCTGCTCCTGAAGGTGCCTTTTTCTCTCTCCAGAAGGAATTTCTGCCTCTTCCACCTTAGTCAGGACTGTCCCTTCTTGTGGGGGTTGTTTTTATCCAGTTTTCAGTTTTCTATCCAGGGTAATTTTTCCAAAAATAGTTGTAACCTGGTTGTGTTCGTGGGAGGACATGAGTTCAGAGTCTGCATACTCCACCATCTTGACGAAATCTCCCAGTAGAAGAATTTTTAAAAAGCAGAGGAAAAATTCAAGTTTACTCTGGATGCTCAAGTCTCCATTGAAGGAATTCATAAAAATCATAGAATGGTCCATGAATGCAGCAGAACGTTTTCTTTTATTGCTGTGTACAAACTGCGAATGAAACAGTCTTTGATTTCTTGGGCTACATGCTCATGGTGCAGTAACAGTTAAATTAATTTCTGGTATGTCTCATCTCATTACAGGTCTATGCAACGGTCTCTTTCAATTTTAAATTGAGCTTCAGGGAAGATTAAATACTCAGGTATTCCAGTTTGTATAAAATTTCCAGATCCATACAAATGAAACTTCCTCTGTCTAACTGACCCTAATCATTCTAATTTAACTAGATGGAGCTTATTTCCTTTTGACAGAGCTTGTCATGTTGAATCTTATCCATGGAGATGAACAGCATGCCAAATGGGTAATAAGTATTCCAGATGTTGCCTTGCCACTTTCCAGCACAGTTATTAATAAAAGTCAGTTGCTTCTTGTCTTTTTCTATCCTCTAATATTGCTGAGAATATAAACTTCCTTTTCCCCCACTAAGATAGGGTAATTTAAAAGCACAGTAAATGGCTGCTGCAGAGGAAGCTGACTATTATAAAGGCACTCATCCACCGTGAGTGGGACGTCGGGGACTCTCAGGGCAATCTGAGGCTTGGCGGGACTGGGGATGGAAGAGTGCGGAGGATCTGAAGGAGACTGCGCCAGAGCTCTGTGTTTGAGATTGTGCGTGTATGTGCGCGTGTTGAAGGGGACTGAGCATCCAAAGAGCCATTTCATTTACTTTTGGCTGGGGAAAAGCCAATACAAGTGGGAACAGCTACCATAACAGTCACTTGATTACAATGGCCTCCCCTAGTCAAAGCGCGGAGGTCACCTGAAGGCCTCACGGCCGCCTCTCCGAACCTCTGCCCTGTTCCTGCGCAGCCCCGAGAGACCTCTAGGCAGAGACCACAGAGGGCCTTCAGTGGGATTTCCGGCGTCTACCCTCAAGCACTGAAAGGAAGGTTGGTCTGACTGCAGAGAGCACACTGGAGGCCAGAGGGACACGGTCAGATTCCAGGGCACTCTGCTGACCATACACATTTTAAGACTTACTAGAGAGATCTAAGTTTTCTTAGGTATGAACGAATTAGACATTCAGAGCTAGGAACAGCCTAAGAATCCTAATGATAATTATAATAATTTTCCAGTGTGATGGCTTCATCAGTCTTTCAAAACACCTGGGGTTTGGTGATTTTTAAGTGAATTTTCCTTCAATTAATAAAAACACAACACTTGGGGCTCCCCTTCACCTTGCCCTCTCTCCTTTTAAATGTAAAATCATGGAGAGGACTTTGCATTTCTAAAGTATAAAGGTACGGTTTAATGCTGTTCTCAAGAAAGAAGAGACCTCCAAACAACTGGTAAAGTGAAATAAAGTTCTGGTCTTCAGAAAACAGTTTCAACTGGCATCATAATCCATATTTGAATAATCTTCTATATACAGTCCTGTACTCCCCTCCCTCTCAGGATTTTGGCTCTAGTTAACAATAACCTAATGTCCAGTTTAAACTGCTGTGAACTTCGAAGTGGAAGACGTTTACCACGAAGGCCACGTTTGCTTTGCAGTCTACACTTGCAGCATTTCCAATGTGCCTGAACGGTTATGTGGATTTTTTGATGTAGATGCTGTTTCCTCAAATGTCAACAGAGAAATGCTATTCTGGGTGCAAGTATTTTCCCTCCCAGTATATCCATTAATTTTTCAAGTTTATCAACAATTGAAATTATTAAACTGGGCTTTACTGACATCTGCTGGACAAAATCTGTTTTTCATTATATTACCAACTCACTAATGCTCAGGTTTTACTAACTAGATGGTTACTATTAATTAAACCAATCAAGCAAAGGTGTACTAAATGAAACAAAATAGAACTGAGCTAAACATAAGGTCATTAATCAGCACGTAAGAAAGCTCAGTAAAGGTTTCTAAGTCCATTTCTCTAGCTGGTCGGCCCATATCACACAATGTACATTTTCCGAGTGCCCTCTATGTGTCACCTGCTGTATATACGCAGTGGGTATACGCACTCTGATGGAGACCCACTTGCAAGCAGCAGACGGTCTGGTGGGGGAGACATATATCAAAACGTTGTTTCATATATCAAAACGTTGTTTCAGAATGTATTCTGTCTAGAGTACCGCCTCCTTCAGCAGCAAGACGACTACACTGTACCTATTGTTCCAAGAGCATCTTTGCAGCGGTAATAAACCAGAGCTGTATGTTTTTGTCCATTAGGCAATACATAGTGCCTTGGGCCTAGAAATTTTTCATGGGCCTACAAATATGTGTGTATTCTAAAATACAAGAAAACAGCAAATTGAAAACACTGTATTTTAAGTTGAATATCAACAGAACATGTAATGTTAACCTTGCTATTTTTAAATTTAATGGTTCTCAAACTTGACTGTGATCAGAACCCCCTGGGACTGTTAACGCAAATTGCTGGGCCCACCACCAGCGTTTCTGACTTAGCAGGTCTCAGTTGGGTGCTAGGATTTGCATTTCTGACCAGTTCCAGGTAATGCTAATTAATGTTGCTAGTCCAGAGACTGCACTTTGAGAACCAACAGTCAGAGAATGTTAATTCACCTTTGCTGGCCTGAGCACCAGGGAGTTAGTAACACTATTAACTGAATCAGGAAATCCAGTTGAAGGGCAACTTGATGGAGGGAGAGGCAGAAAAGATGATAAATTTGGCTTTCTCAAGAAACAGAAGAAAAGGCCATCCAAGCCAGACCGACAGAGGGTCTCCTAATATATTTCAATGAAACGTGAATGCAGCTCGACCTTTAACTGGTCAGGTGAGAACTAGTATAAAATAAAACAAGCTTTCCGCTCACTGCAGCAAGTGGTAGAAAGTGCATTGGTCATGCGACCAGCTAACTTGGTCAATTTAGCACAGAACACCCAGGAAATAAGCTCTTGTGAACAGGGATATATGGCCACACTCACTTGTGTGAGTCTTACAATTTAGGAGTTGAGAACTAGCGGGTTTTTCCTATTTCTGATGGACTTTTCGAGCTGCCTGGTCCAGCCCTGTTCTTCGGCATTGAAGCATCTCTGGATGAATGCCCTCTGAAGCACTGTAGGCCCGCATCACTTTATGAAATCCTCATTTAGGAAACATGGTCATTCACAGATGATGGCAAATACAGGCCTGCATCGATTAACGACAGGGACACATTCTGAAAAAAGCACCACTAGGCAATTTTGTCATCATGCAAACATCATAGTGTGCTGACACAAACCTAGATGGCACAGCCTACTACACACCTAGGCTATAGGGTACTAATCTTACGGGACACAGTCATCTATGTGGCCTGTCATTGACTGAAATGTCAGAATGTGGTGCATGACTGTAAGGGCAAATGCCTCTAGTGTACATTTACTACTCAGAACATGCTAAGAAAAAACAGTTTTGGAAAAAGGAATACAATTGATCTGCTTTTGTGTTTAAAACATCTTTAAAAAGCTGACTGGCTAACCAGGGCTCCTTATAAATTCTAAACAAGAAGCAAGCGGTCTAATTTTCCTCATACAAGCCTTGGTGACTCTATTTCATATAGATATCTTCCATATGGTTCCCAGATAAGCAGGGGCTTATGACTCTTTGGATTAAAAGACTCCAAATCCTTGCCAACTCTCCCATTAAAATTACAAACACATATTGTTCCAAGTCCGTTTCTTTCACTTGCTACAATCACCATCACAGAAAACTGATCACCTCAAGACCGTACGCTTTGCCTTTACATTATGTGGAACTGTGTCACATCAGAACTCAGACTCCAATCATTCCAGCTCTTTCATGCTCTGATCACACACATCCATCAGTCCTTTCAACTCCTCAGCCAACTCCTGACCTGACTTCCTTCTGTGCTGAGCTGGGATGCCGTGACTCATGACCTAGTCCTGTGGTCCTCAAAGCAGGCTCTGCGGCCAGCAGCGCAGCATCATCTGGGAGCTTGTTAGAAACGCAGAATCTCAGGCCCCAAGGGACTGGCATTTTAGAATCATTTTAACAAGATTCCCAAGTGATCTGTATGCCCAAGTGGTTGAGCAGCTCTGACCTCAGTGTTTCTTCAAGTTTCCTCGACTCTCAGGCACTTCTATCTTTTCCCTCCATTATCCACCAAAAGCCAGTCCAGGGGAGGTTCCATATCACATTGAAATTACTTGTTTATATTTATCTTCAGATTTAAAGTGTCTTTTGTGAGCAGCTATCACCTTATCTTCCTAAGTAGATGTTGTACCTAGCATACTCTAGCAGCACAATTAATATTGTTCTGCTTGAAGTTCTTCAAGTTAATTGCTATGTAGGTCACAACCAGTTACTAAGGTGCTAGTGACTAACAGCAGGCTGATCAACCGTCTCTTCGAAAATACTCACATCTTAACAGAATTCCTGGAGGAAATGGATTCAACCTAAATCATTAATAATGCCAACGCTGGGAGTGTTTGAGAAACTGGCCAAGAGGCCAAATTACTTTTCTGGGGACAAGTGACTTTTTATCTCTAAATTTCCCTCCAGTGGGCTAGAACCAAGGTGGTCCAAATGAAAGAACTCTTGAGGGCTTCTGGGCTGGCTGAAGAGCTTTTAATTTTCTTTGGGTGAGGACGATTCACCGGAGCTAACATCTGTTGCCAATCTTCCTCTTTTTGCTTGCGAGTTTCCCTGAGCTAACATCTGTGCCCATCTTCCTCTATATGGGACACTGCCACAGCATGGCTTGATGAGCAGTGTGTGGGTCCACACCCAGGTTCCAAACCTGTGAACCCTGGGCCACTGAAGTGGAGCGTGCGAACTTAATCACTATGCCACCGGGCTGGCCCCCTGTAGGGCTTTCAAAATGTTTTCTCCCTGCAGGAGTCCTAAACTCCAGTATCTCCATGTACAAACAGAAACCACAGGTCACACGAGAGCTGACCTACTTGAAATTGGGGAAGAGTAGCTGGGGGTTAACAGGAACATGAGAGACATTTCCTTGTAATGCTTGTCTGTCCCATCACCCGCCCTGAGTCGTCAGAGGGGGCTGTCTATCTTGTACACACAGAATCCCCCACCAGGCACCCTGCAGACAGACACACGTGTTTAATGAATTTGGGGGATGAGATGGTTTGAAAGTCTTGCTCACAGCAAGATTAACGTATAATCTTTAAAGCGTTGCTCACGGCAAGATAACGTATAAAACAGCATGTCTGGAGCATGTAAATGGACAGTGCCAGCAGCTTGGACTATACCAGCAAGGGGTGCATGTTCGTTCCTGATGCTGAATCCCGAGAGAACAACTGACATTAACCATCAACTTTCTCAGTGAGCCACATTAGGATTTTTTGGCTACAAATGCCGTTCTTAACATCCCAGCTCCATTAAGAAATTAGGCAAGTGTGACACTGCTTTATACACTGACTTATCAAAAGAATCCTGCTTTCCCTACACAAGGACGAACTGCCTCACGGACGCTTTCTCTAGCGCTTTCTTGCAGAGTGAGAGTGTTAGCTGCAGATTAATGTCACCACGACTGTGACTTGTGTGTGGATGAAGTCAACGTAGTGTAGAAATGTAAAATTAAGCTGGCTGACTAGGAGCAGCGGTCGTGCTAAGATCCATTTCTCTGTCCTCATTATTTTACTTCTTGGCTGATTGTGTTTGCTGCTTTTTCCCATTACTCACAAAATTGTCAAATAAGTCCCCAAGGATGCACTAGCACAGGGCTTCTGGAAAACAGCGTTTCAATAGTTTACATAATGGGACCAGTGAAACCAATATGTTCTCCATTGTAAGAAAGCCAGTGTGCTCACTTTGCTAACTGACCCTCAGCTTTAGAAGGAAGAGGGCGAGTTTGGAGGGGAAACAGAATGAGAAAGCAAATTATTAGGGGACCAACTTGTAGGTTTTTCTCACTTTAAATTATGCTTATAAGAGTAGAGAATACATGAGACTTTTAATGACACTGAATCCATGGTGGGAACTAACCTGGGAAAAAGAAATGACACAAAAATTATTCTTCTATTCAGAGAGTATGAGGAGAAGGAAGGAGACAAAGGTCTTTTCTAATGAAAAGTTAGGAAAAAATAAATCAAACTACTATTGGCAAGTTGCGGGAGAGGAATTACTTCTTCAAGTTCTTTTGTTCATGACACTACAACTGTGAGGCAATGTAATGAGCTACTTCTTGTTTTTCCTCCAGGAGGAAGATGAGCCGGGGCTGGTAAACAGACAGCAGCGCTGGCTGGTCTCACCAGGTGAAACGGCTCTATCCCCTCCACACTCACTGCCCACATCTAGAGCTGTGTCACCACCATCTATACCTTCGTTCAATCAAAGGAGACAAATAAAAATAACTGCACTTACCTTTCGCATTATGAGTCATTCAAACAATAGACTAGGGGTGTGAAGGGCATTTTAGTCAAATGTACTGAGGACAAAATACGATTCAGGGATGAAAACAAGTATTTTATAATTTGGCAAATCTCTGTTGTTCTAAGTGACACCACGTAGCTGCATCATGAAAATAAGTGGCACAAAGTCCTGCCAGGTGGTTCAGCAGAACTCCTTCCCAACCTCTGCACGCACACTTGATAATTACGCCTCATTCAACCTCCTCCTCTCTTCAAAGTTCCTTTCAGAAATGGTCAGCAGGGAAATCAATTTCCAGAATTAGGCCTTTAGTTATTAACCACAGGGTGGATTCTCATACGTGTAAGATGGTTAATACACTGCTCTCCTTGAAGCCTAGTAGATTCCTCTAATTCTATAAAGATCAGATTTAAAAATGTTTTCCTCTAATAAATCTCTATTTTCAGAAAGCACTGCAAATCTTGTTTGATCCAGCAATGAAGAAAAAGTCAGGAACAAACCCTAGGGAATGAGTGTATAGAGAAAAAGCCATCAATTACCATTGAAGGAAAATATTTCTTAGATTTAAACCAAAGCAAACAAAAGGCACAGGTGATATAGAGTCGCAATAAAATTTTATTGAGAAGCAGTAAGTTAAATCCTTTACAGAACAGAGAAATACATACGATCCCAGGCCTTTCCGATAAATGGCAAGAGAACATGGGGGTGGGTTCTTCAAATACTCCAAACACTTTGTTTTATGTCTGTATGAGAGAAACAGCTCTTCTACAGCTTCACAATACAGAAATGCGGTGCTCTGACCTATTTAGGGGAAGCAGAAGTGGAATCAGAATTCAGTATGAGTAATAAAGGACTACAGACGAGTTCCAGTAGCCAAAGGAGTAGATGAATAAATGTTCACTCTTCACATTTTGTGTTTCAGAATCAGCGAGCAGAAGGCAGGTCATCATAAGATCAGACACAGGAGCAGAGTATGTCTCTCAATTCAGTTACATAGGGAAGTGGTAATAAGGAGAGAAAACAGCTTTGGATGCATTTTTACCTAAAATTCTACCTACCATGAAGGCTTCTGATGCCAGATAATTGGAACTGGCATCAAAGATGAAAAGGGAGCCAAATAACTCTAAGGATTAAAGACTGACAATTTGAATGAGACCAAAGCCCAGTGGAATTGATGGAGATGGTGGTGACGCTGACATTTTTTACATGATGAAAAGTCAACTACTGTAATTTCTCATCACTAGAGGAACAGAAACACATGACAGGATAAAGCAACACTCCTCAACAAGCTTTCGGGGTTTTACTACCTAGTCTTATCTCCAACAGTATCGCTGTAAGAGGTAAGAGATACTATTGAGTTTTCTGGAAAGCAACTTTTGGGAAAGTTCTTACCAAAAAGAAAAATATCTGAGGGAAAAACGATGTAACAGAAATAGAACCAAAATGATGCTTTTTCCTTTTAAAACTCAGAAAGCCAGTGTAAAAGTTTCTTTCAGTTTCAACCATGATGTTAGGGTACTGGTCTTGGTTTCACAGCCTTTGCCTAAGTTTAAAATCCTATCAAACTTTCTTAGCTCTTAAGCATAAATAAAACAAACAATGGCACAAATATAAAATCTTGCCAGCTTAGTAAGTCCTAAATAGCTAAAGAATATGAAATGAACTGTTTGTATTGATGAATTTGGTAATGGATGACAGTAGCTAAACTATAATCCAAATATTAAAAAGAATCTTATTCAAAATGTTCTCCTTGTCTTGAAGTCTTGCTGGGGTTAAATTAACCAAGATGTTTGGAGAAGCACTGTGATGAAGCCTCCTCTGGCTAAGAGAAAGTGTGCTCTGTTCCTTTTCCCTTGGTTAGTGACCACGTAGCTGAAAGTACAGGTACAGCATAGTAGGACATTTAACTAAACCAAATGGGCTTTATTCTTTCAAGCTGGACATGCAGCCAAAGGCAAATGAGCTGTCCCGTGAATCCGAAATGTTCATGAGAAAGGCACAGGCTGCACGCGGCTAAGCAGTAGCAATGAGGAAATCGGAGAGGCACAAGGTGGTTCCCAACGAGCACAAGTCACAGAGCAGGAAGTTGATCCCAGGAACTGAGTAGTGGGCTGCTTTTCAGATCCTACTGTTGGCAGCCTTTAAAGGGTCAATTTCCAATAACATTAGCTATTTTGGTGCTAAATGGAAAATAAGAGGGGACTGCTACCCACAGGAACCAACATACATTCAGTGGCAATTTAGTTGAAAGTTCCAATAAAAATAGCATATTTTTGTGACCAAGAGCTGTGAAATAGGCACATTTAAAATTCTTAGACCCTGTTTTTTCCAAAGCTGCAAAATATTCTAAAATCAGTCAAAACATAGAAAAGACGAAAAAAGCTTGGGAAAGGCGGCAATGGAAAGAGGAGGAGTGGAGCTGATGAGTCAAAACATCTACACAGAATGTGACCCGCCAGGGAGTCTGCACCTGCCATATCATCCCGGTCCCGAGGGCTCAGGCCTGATGAGCGTCAAGCCGAGGACATGCAAAGACGGCACCTGTCCGCTCTAAGCCCGGCCCTGGGTAATGCCTCCTACACAAGCAGCATCTCTGTCAAAAGTTCTGTGTCTCTGTTTGAGTCACTGGCTACCTAACACCCTCCCCCTTTTTAAACAGGAGTAGAGAGCTGTACGATTTAGTGAAAAGACCAAAATCCAGATAGATTGGTAGGAAGGAAAATATCTTAGGGCTTGTCCCAAATAGGCAGCACTAAAGCACAATCATTGCACGGTAAGGAAAACACAAGTCAACGTTTAGAAGGTCAGTCAGACAGCGTGGACCCCAATCCCAGGTCACAGCATATTCACACACAGCAAACTCATTCCGGATTTATACTAATTCCAAAGAACAAACAAATTTAAGTAAATAGTTCCAAAATACACTGGCTTATTTTAGAAAACACAATAAATGTTTTTGTTAGCTTACCCTGAACTAACCTTCAAATCAGAATTTTCACAATGACCATTGCATTTTAGAAGTTTTTGATAAAAAATACTGGCTTACAGAGCCTGGATGCTCGCTAACAGAAAGAGGCAAATTTGGAAGTATGTTTCTCTCTAGTTTAAATAAGCATTGGGAATTTGAAAAATGGTATTTAGGTCCCTTGCTCAGGTGGCAACTCTCACAATTTCTGTCCTGGAAGCATACAGCTTTATTTTTGTTCCCTTTTAGAATCAACCACCCAGAGAAAAGTAGAGTCATAAAACCGTCTGTCCTGTCGGAGACAAAATACTGGAGAGCAGAGGTGGAGGGCAATGTCTAATAATAATCATATATTTATCTTTGTTTATTCACATTTAGTTTCTTTTAAACATTTTTAGAACAGTAACAGATGGCTATATTCATAAGCTTAAACAAGAATAAAATTTCCTCCTAGTTCTGAAATACATATACATATGCCCTCAAAATACTGCACGTATCATCGAACCTCCTTATAGGAAGAAACTGAAGTTAAAAGATTTCCTGATATTTTAAAATAAAAATAAATGATAAAGAAAACAAACTGCACTAAAGACAAATTCTGAAAAAAAATCCACTAAATCAAGTACACAGTTTGACTCTCTATTTCCTTGAAAAGCAACGACAGCACTTAGCCCAGGCCTGATACACAGAAAGGGTCATGCAGTCAATCGCGGGGGGCAAGCTTTCCTTTTACAGTTCAAATGCAGGGAACCGGGCTTTCTCGGGCACTAGCAGGTCAGCCAGGAAATATATCGTTCCAGCCATTCCTGAAGGAAGAGAAAGAGGCAAAAGTTATTACACCAAATGACTGTTTTATGGAGTGGCTTCATTCTGTAGCATCAGCATTACGATACTAACAGCTAAAACTTAAATGAAGTGGGCATCTGTCTATATTTATATTCGTGGCAGTTCAACATTAGAGAAGATAGCCAGTGAGGTGCTCAGCCTCTTGATCCAGGTGGAAGACAGGAGGGAGAGTGGAGCCACACAAGTCCAAGGCACAGCCCTGCCACTCACCGCATGTGAGCTCCTTCATCACGGCACCATGGCTGCTTACCTGTCAGCCTCAGTCCTCTCGTCTGTGACGTGAGGATAATAATGTCTGCATGTTTTTGCTGAGATGATTTATGATGGCATCTGCAGAACGCTCAGCATGCGCTCGCTCCATAAATGGCAGCCACCATTATAACTACCAGTATTGGGTTCGTGGTAGTCCATGTGCTAAGTGATTTTTAATACTGAGTTGTTATACTATGAAATGAAGTAGTTTTAGGAAATGACTATAAAATTAATTTGTTGATAAAGCTCAAATTCAAATACACTAATTACCAGACAGAGAAGTAGAAGCTGATTTTATAAGGCAAAGAAGTAATGCGTGAAAAGTACCTTCAAAGAGGGAGAAGGGGGTGTCTGGTGTTCTGCATCCATGTTCTCCGTAATCCAAGCACCACTCAGCGAACTGGAAATGAGACCTGGTTAAAGTGCTGCAGTGACTGCTTCCAGAGACCCCCGCAAGTTGACAGAGCTTGTCTCTAAGAACTATTCTGAAAAGTCAGAACCTATCTTCAAGGCAGAGAAAAGGGGTTAATGCAGAGAAACAGATGGTCTGAAAGAGAGTACGAAGTGTGGGAGGAATTTAAGGAGCTGTGGAGCCACCCATCTCCAAGGTTATCAAAGAAGGAACAAAACTACCCTACATCTTTCTTTTCCCCCATAAATGCTGTCGAGTAGAATTATGTTCTTTTAGAAGAAAGCTAAGTCAATGGAATGGTTTTTGCAGGTTTTCCTTAAATAACCGGCTTTGCTGTAACTCAAGATTTAACAAACAAACGAACTAAATCGTGCTCCCGGGAGGCGTGCTTCCCTGCCGGCATGCAGCCCCTACCTTGCAGGCCCTGTACAGGTACTTCCTGTCCTGTGTGAGGTTGAACAGCGCCAGGAAGGCATAGGCATTGCCCGCGGCGCCGTGGCACAGCCCGTAGCCCTTCTTCAGCAGCCCGTACTGCCAGATCAGGTCAGCGCTCTGCCGGGCGTCGGTGAGATAGCGCTCCTCTCTGAACACCTGTGGCAAGGGACACATGGCCTTACAAGGCACCTGAAAGACCCTGTACTGACATCCCTTCCTGATGGGAAGGAGGGAGAGAGCAGGGGCCTAGCAGGAAAGGGCAAGGGCTTCAGAGCCAGACAGAAGCGGTATTCTGGTGGGCACAAATTACAACCATTCACTGGCTTTGCTTTTTTGTTTTTTTAAATAACAGGGCATGACCTTGTCTGCACGGTTTGAGTTTTATGTGTCTGTGCGTTTGTGTACACGGGAGTTATTGGTGAAGCAGCACTATTTTCTTCAACTTGCTGTTACGAGTAGTCTCTTTCCAAAGAATATGTACTGCCTTCTTTGGGAACAGGGAGGCCCTTTACCACTGGAAGTTTCTCTACGTACTGGAGGAGAAGCTGTGTAGGATTGGTTATAAAACCTGGTTTGATTATAAAACACC